GATTAGAGCATTTGAAAATCAGTGTTTTTACACAGACTGCACGATGTGCTCTTCATCAGCATGACAGTGGATCTACAGCGGTATGAGCAAACTAGTGGCTGTTGTAACTATTAATTTTTCTTCTTTTTTTGCTGAACAATAGTAAATGTGATTGAATATGTACTCAAAGATTAGTCTTTGTTTAAGATGCTTTACTGCAGTTTACATGGTAAAAATTTAGAATCTTAGAAAGAAAAAAATGATATGATTATCTTAAACCCACAGTTTTTTTATTTCACCTGCCTATCACCTTTTTCCCCCATGAACCTCAAAGTGCTGAGGAAAGGTAGGAATGTAATGTTTTCCAACAATTCACTACAAAAAAGTTTCACTATTACTGTACGTTGAATGTGAATGAAACAAGTCTAATGGAAGTGAAGCCTTGGCAACTTGTCATTCCGAACACAGGCCAGGTATGGAAAGAGAGGGAGCATTAAGGATGGCATATTATCCAGCTCTGGCCTTTGTTTACAGCTGTTTTTACGTTCCCATTTAGTCTTACATTTTGAAAAACAGCTGAAGTATACTGTAGTCTCTTCATTGTGAATGAACCAGTATTTAAGCAGTGTTGCCCTGAGTACTTTATTATGGCTCTACAACACAATACAACAAAGTCTTACCAAGAGTAAAATCAACCATTAAAGGTTTAACAAACAGATGCCAATCTCATTTGTATCCAGAGAGGTCCATGGTGCCCATCAGTTCCTAGTTCATTTGAAGTCAGCTCCAGGAGGAGCAGCATATGGCTTTTACACCATTGACGTCAGTGAAGTTAGTCTGTGTTTACACTCATGCCAATAAGATCAGAATTTGTTCTTAGTATTCCAGAAGCGAAAATCCCCAGACATCCTAAATGTAATTTCTATACAAGCCCCAGGTACCTCAGAATGTTTCATCACAATGAAACACAAGATGAATTTCAAGAAATGCCAGGTTATCACATACTGTAAGTCTCTAAATAACCAGTTTAGGCCACAGAAGTACTTGTCTCCTCAGTGGGAGTTTCTTTACTAAATTCAAATGTGTAGGTTACCGTAAGTCCTGTTAACTGGTTTAGGAATGCTATAGGAAACAGGTAATAAATCACAGAATCCTAATTCTCTCTCTGATCTCTTCAGAAGGCTACTTGTGCTGCTGGATAATGCCATACAAAATTAGCAGAGAACTTTAACTGGTTCATATGAGTTGAAGAGTTGTCATTAAATATATTCACCCAGAAAGACTGTCAGCTGGAATACGTGCATGCGTGAGGCAGAGTATTGCAGGCAGACTGAGCAGAAGTTCATAGAGAGGAAATTTTGTCTATGCCAGTGCTGCAATGTTACTGTATAACACAGGTCATATTTTAGATCACCTCATCTAACTTGATTTAAACTGAAGCATCTTACCTAAACCAGTCATCCAGGTTTCTCTATAGCTAACAGAGAAAAGCAGTATCTCTAGTAATTAATTATTTTTACCCAGCAGAGGCAACCAAGATATAATGAATCATGTGTGAGAGGTGCCTCTGTCTTCTGTGTACTGTCATAACGTTACTCGGCTTGCTTAGACTGAACTCTAACTTCAAGATGGATAAACCTTAATCGCATCTTTTTACATCTTTGCACATGTTTCTCACTTGTTCATCTAGAGACTAGAGATATTTTTTTATTCTTTTGTGGAAGAGATGAGCATTTACAGCTCACAGTAGTTGGTGCTATAACTGAAGCTGATAGGACTGTGCTTTGACCATTTAAACTTGCATGTAAAGCTGGTTCTGTGGGGAAAAAAAAAAAAAGAAAAGTATTTCTAGGTCCTTGGCATCTTTAATTTAGATTTCCCCCAGTTTAGGAGACATTTTTTACTTTAATGTCGTCAATTCTGCTACTGTTAATGGATAACATAGTTTTCTGTATTGGAGGCTGGGCTGAATTCTAACAGGAGACAAGCGGCAGAAGCATCCTATTGTGACTGGCCGTGTAGGTCCATTTATCCTTGGCGTAAGCTCCCTCAGAAGAGGGTGCTTCCAGGACTCAAAGCGTATTGGTTGGCCTTTGGTGTAGCCACCATGGATGCATAGAAGATTAAACAACTTCTGTTGTGGGGTTGCTGCATGTTGTATAGTACAGCAATTGTTGATTGCTACTGTGATGGTGTGCCAGCAGTGCTATGGCACCGAACAAGACTTTCTGGTCAGAGCATTCATTATTTGACTCCTGTAATAACAAGCCATAAGTCCTTAGATCTCCCTCTGAGGTTAATAGTCACGCTTTAACCTCTCAAGGTGTTCTGCACATGTATAAATCCATGTTTTTAAAGCATTCTGCTATGATAGTGATGAACAGTTATTTTATAAAAGAGGGAAGGAAGGAAGGAAGGAAAGAAACTGAGAAAACTGACTTTATTTCAACAGTATAATTGAAGTTTCACTCCAGAAAAAAGAGGATCATTGTGGTTTTGACCTCTGTAGATCTGAGGCTTCAGCATTTAGTTACTATATATACTTTGTCTAAATGCCTTAATCATAAGACTGTTCAGAGACCTTATTCTGGGCTTAAAATGCTCTTCTTTCCAAAGCAGGTGAACAGATTGGTTTGTGGTGGTTTTTTTTTTTTTTTTTTTTTTTTTTTTTTTTTTTTTTTTTGTTTTTTTTTTTTTTTTTGTGTGTTTTTTGTTGTTGTTGTTGTTTGTTTGTTTTTTTGGGTTTTTTTTTAAATGTCAAGAAAAAAAAAAGTCAAATGCCTTGGCTCAGATTTTTACATCTCTGTTTCTTCATGTTTAGCGTGTACTTGCTTTGTGTCCTTCCCATGTGGAAGGTGATACCGTCTAGCAGAGATATTTACATGTTGTTGTTAATTGCAACCACAGAATATACCTTCATGAATATACATGCCCTGTGTCTGCATGGCATACATACATAACATAAATTTTTACCATTATTTAAAGATGGCAGACTGAGACATAGAAAGGCTAAATATTTCCTTCAGAGGAATTATGAACACTATAGAGAAAGAAACTCATGTCTTCTAAGCACTTCAGTCAGTGCATCATCTCCCTCTTCTCACTGCATTCCATTCTTTTATAAGCTGGTTACAGGCCTATTGGGCTCATTTAGGGACTCATCCCTGCCTCAGTTTTGACCTGAGTTTACAGTGCCAGAAGGTGATAGATGTTGGATACCTCATAGTAGGAGCTGACAAACTAGGAGCTTGGAGCACAGGTACTTTAAAAGACATATTTGAGAGACAGGAAGGTTTGAGTTTCAGACTGAAAATCTACCAGTACTTTTGGGAAGATAAAGTACTGCCCATAAAAACTGCCAGCCCCTGAGCTTCTTAAGGTGTCTCTCAGCCATGTGTTTTTATGAATCTGCAGGCAGGTCTGCACTGCACGGTTGTATCTGTCCTGGAGTTCCTCTGCCTATGCTCTGAGATGACTGAAATTTAGCTCACTCTTGTCTGTGAACAATTTAACTGCATTACCATATCCATTTCATATGGAAAACTTGGTCTCTGCCTGTGACAGTAAGAATGAAATGACTGTGCCTGCAAAGGAAACCAAGGATGCAAATCACTCTTATACAGGGAATTATATCTCTGAATTTCCTCCATTTGTCTGTTTACATTCTCAGTGAATATTCTGTGCCTTTCATTTTACTTTTTTTTTTTTTTTTTTTTTTTTTCCTTCTCTTCCTAGTAGTCTGAATTAACGACAGTCTGTTCCGAAGATGTGGTGGGTTTCCACTTATGGGTTTTTTTGTTAACATATGTTGCCTGTGGCACCACTTGTTGCAGGCACAGATAAAGGCTAATACATCATTATCAGCATATTGAATGAAGAGGCTGTCTTGTGGAGTTGTCTAAGTGATACTCCTGCTTATTTGCATCGTAATAAGGCCTGATGACAAAACCCCCTCCAGGTCACTTTGAGTCTTTGCAGAATGTTAATGTGGCTGTAATGAATGGCAACTTGTACACGTACAAATGCTCTTGGATGCACACCATTCAATTACTTTATCAACCTGTAGAAGCCAAACCCCATCTGTGTCCTTTCTGAGCCTTTCAGTGGCTTCACTGAGCTTTGAATCAGACAGATATATACAATCAGTGCTGGAATTTTAAGACTATGTTCATTTAAAAAATTGGAATTAACACCAATAACATTCTTAATTCTGGAAATAACATGACACTGCAAAATGCAGCACTGGGATTAATCTGTTTAATTTTAGGTACATAGGTTATGCACAGACACAGGGAGTTGTCTGGACTCCATCCATTTTTTGTCATTTAAAGGGGCATCGCTCTTCTCATCTGTTGACAGCTAAAATAGGTCCAACAAATTACACTTTAGAAGGGTCTATTTGTGTCCACTGATTGAAAAGGAGTCTAGAAAACCAGCTAGCAAGTTGGGATGAATCCCATTTCAGCTTTTGAAAGCCATAATGAGACTGGCACTTAAATTTTTGCACTTCTGCTGTATATTACCTAGACTGTTCACTCTCTACAATGGATGGGACTCATTTTACCTAACTTTAGACAAGCCTGCTGTGGATATCTATGTATAAATGCATCAACCTAGGCTCCAGTTATCATCTGTGGAAGCAATTAGACATTTACACTGCAGACATTTGTGTGCATCAGAAGAATCGTACCCAAGAAGCCCTTATTTGACTGTTCTGTCTGTTGAGGTTACGCATCCTGGAGAACAGAAAGCTAATGGACATGTAATTGCAGTTTTTCACAACTTAAACAAGGTTCACAGACAAGATGGAGCCATGCACTGAAGTGCGTGATGAAAGGATCAAGAAGAAGTTGTCAAAAGTGGCAGCAAGTGGAATCATAATTAAGGAAAAAAATCTTCACCTGGGACATTTATTCTAGTCTGCAAAGTTCACAGAGAATACTTCGTCACTGGTGGTCAGACGCTGGAAGATGTTACCTAAAAGAGTCTGAGAAACCTGTCAAAGCCCTGCTTTGGCCCAGACGTGGGACTAACAACCTGACTTATTCTATGACTCTGAGGTATAAACCACTATGAAAACGGAGGTAAAGATGTTTCAGTACCTGAGACATCTCCTCATGGAGTACTCCACTGGTACCTGCCAGCTCTTGAAGACAGCTTCTACCTGTCACTGAGCTGAGGTGGTAGCTGTCTGATTAACTGGGGCAAAAAATGAAAAGCCTCTCTTTGCAGTCAATGAATACAGTAATTACTTCTCAGCAAGGACTCTCCTTTCCTAGAGCAGACATCTAAAACAGGTTAGTTGGATGCACCTTGGATACACTCTCTCAATCTTCCTAAGGTAAATAAAGCTGATCACAGAGCCTGAAGTCTCCCGGGAAAAATGAAAAGGGTCCAGGAGAAGCAATTGTTTTGCGCCTCAGTGAGTTACTGTGGTATCAGTGGTGCTCTGCACTGCTGCTCCTTTAATTGGCTTGATGGTTGATACTATGAAAATGAGATGCTCTAAAGTGCATTTATTTCCAGTCCATCCAGTACTTGTTAGATTTATTTCCACTCTGTAGCTGAAACTGGAGCTGTTTGCTGCTGGCTGCTGCCCTGGGCAGCCCCTCTGAGTATGGAGGGTTACACAAAAGGTAACCTGGAGCATAAGGTTGCCCTTCATTTTAAGGGCCACATGAACCTCCAGCCACTGAGGTTCAAAGCAGCATGAATTACTTATAGGATCGAGAGCTGCTAGCGAGGCAAGGGAAGTGTTGTGTGCAGCACAAGGCTTTATTTATATGACTTCCAGGGTCTGTTATTCATCAGTGGCCTAGCAGACAGCAACCTCTCTTTTAGCTTCTGTCCCTGGATGTTGCAGAGGAGGCAAAAATGGGGATTGGATTTACCCGATGCAGAAAATCTGATTTGTTTATGAGGAGATGTGAAAAATGGGGACTGCAGTTTGTGCTTTTCATCAAAATATGCTGTTGTGCAAAAGAGTTACTAACAAATCGTCCGACTGTATTTTCAATCTCTTCTTACTAAACATGTATTATCTTCTAAATTCAGATGATTTCTTCGTAAGGGTTTCACCTTAAAGATTAGCCAGCAGGGAAGAAGGCTGACCTGGCTGAACAGAGACCTTTGGCTGGAACTCAGGAGAAAAATGAGAGTTTATGACCTTTGGAAGAAGGGGCAGGCAACTCAGGAGGACTACAAGGATGTCATGGGGTTGTGCAGTGAGAAAATTAGAAGGACCAAAGCTGAACTAGAACTTAATCTGTCTACTGGTATAAAAGACATTAAAAATTTTTCTATATTTATATGTTTCTATATTTATAGGAACATTAAAAATGTTTCTGTAAATACTTTAGCAGGAAAAAGAAAGCTAAGGAGAATCTCCATCCTTGATTGGATGTATGGAGAAACATGGTGACAAATGCTGAGGAAAAGGCTGAGGTACTTAATGCCTCCTTTGTATCAGTCTTCAATAGTAAGACCAACTGTTCTCTGGATACCCAACCCCCTGCTGGGGAGCAGAATAAAGACCCCATCATCCAAGAGGAAATGGTCAGTGACCTACTACACCACTTAGACACACACAGGTCTATGGGGCCAGATGGGATCCACCCAGGAGCACAGAGGGAGCCGGCAGCAGTACTCACCAAGCCACTTTCAGTCATTTATCAACAGTGCTGGCTAACTGGGAAAGTCCCAGTTGACCTGAGGTTAACAAATGTAATGCCCATCTACAGGAAAGGTCAGAAGGAGAATCTGGGGAACTACAGGCCTGTCAGTCTGACCTCAGGGCCAGGGAAATTTAAGGAGTGGATCATCTTGAGTGCCATCACATATCATGTACAGGACAACCAATGGATCAGTCAGCAGGGGTTTATGAAAGGCAGGTCCTGCCTGACAAACCTGATCTCCTTCTATGATAAGGTGATCTGCTTACTGGATGAGGGAAAGGCTGTGGATGTTATCTACCTAGCCTTTAGCAAAGCCTTTAAATCATTTCCCACATCATTCTTCTGGAGAAACTGGCTTCTCATGGCTTGGATGTGTGTACTCTTTGCTGAGTAAAAAACTGGCTGGATGGCCAGGCTCAAAAAGTGGTGGTGAATGGAGTTAAATTCAGTTGGTGGCCAGTCACAAGTGGTGTTCCCCTTCTCAGTATTGGGGCTAGTTCTTCTTTCATTTTCATGGCACCCCAAACGAATCTTTTACTAATGGTCTGGACAAAGGGATTGAGTGCACCCTCAGTGAGTTTCCAGATGACACCAAGTTGGGTGGGAGTGCTGGTCTGCTTGAGGATACGATATTTTAAGAGTTGTGTACATGTGGTGCTTAGGGACATGGTTTAGTAGTGGACTTGGCAGTGTTAATGGTTGAATTTGCTGATCTAAAGGTCTTTTCCAAGCTAAACAATTCTATAATTCAATGATTCTGTGATCTGTAATCAGGTGACAGAATATGATATTCTTAAATCACAAAGAATAAAATGGGACCTATTATTGGAGCAAATACTGTTCAATGAGGCTATGTAGCAGAGGATGAGTGCTGACACTGATAAAAATCTGTCATTTCTTTGAAATTTAAAAATAGTGTTTTATTCATGGAGGGTCGATGGCATTTTGATGGAGAGTGACAGACTGTTAGCCTCCATGGCAACACTTTTCTGTCCATCTCTGACCCACCAGGAAAGAGAAGTCAGGGCTTTTCTTCCTCTGGCTGATTTGCTGAAGCTCTAGTGCCTGAGGGAGGACATCCTTTGCCCTGCTCAGCACTACATGAAATCCTTGTAGGAAACACTGAGCAACCTATTGTTTTTCACAGATGCCTCCCTCCTACATAAACTCCTCAATAATTAACCAGCAGTATCTTCAAAGCAGTAATGTGCAAGATAAATAATAAGAAGCAGGAATGACAGAGTGATAGTACCCATGTGTTTTGATACAGATCCTCATCCTTTATGATGCTGCTGGCATTTATGCCAGTCTTCAAGCTTCACAGAAGATACCTTGTCACACATGCCTCATGTTCACTGCATCATCCTGTTCCCACAACCACGTTTTCCTCTCCCCACTGCCAGAATTCAACTGAGGGCAGAGAGAGAGGTGAGGACCCTTCTTTCATTTTCCTGGCACCCCAAAGGAGGCAAAAAAAGTTTTCTTATTGCCTAGCTTGTCATCCAGCTTCCTTACTGACATTAGGAATATATCCAAGGAAATTGGTGTTCAGAACACCTTTTTCCAACAAATCTTTTTTTCAAGTACATTTTTTTTTTTAAATTTTACAAAACTAAAGAAGGTAATAGCTGGATGTTTGTCCTCACTGCAGAGAAACCTATGCATCTGAAGCTGTGTTTTATAGGAGATAACTTTGTCAAAATATTCATAATAGGATGAACCATGCACAGCTTCTCTCAGTGGTTTAGGGGAAAAAAAGACATCAGTTTGTAAAATAATGTTGCTTAAAATGAGTGGTTTTTCTATGTCTGTTGCTTTTTACTCATATTTCTCTGAAGAGACATACAGACATATCTAGGCCCATATAAACCATATTTATGAACTATATACATACTCAACAAGTTTCTTGGACTAGTTTTTGATAACTTCTAGATAAGAAAATGCAGATGGTATGGGTTGACTGAGTTTTTAAGGGGTTATTATCTCATTTTAATGTCTATATGTGTTCATAGGTTTTATCTTTAAAATTTAGCACATTGTCCTGAACCCTTATCTCTGAAAAATATTGAATATTTGTACTCACAGATCACTGAAATACCTTTCTATACCTTACTGAGTTTACATATTGGGTTTTATTTCTCCAGGTCTCAGCTGGAGTGTTCAAAGTAAAATCTATTCTGTACCCATTTAGGGGAGAGGGCAGTCAGATCAATAGTCTGTGGTAGCTTCTTGTCAGAAGAAAACAGATACATTCACAAAATTATTGATTCTATTAACCCATGTTCCACTGAAAACTGACAATAGGTCAGTTCAGTCACATTTCTCCTTTACCTTATTGAAAACAAATTTAGAATGGAATGCAAGGAGTAAGGACGCTTATCTCAAGGCACACTAAGAACTTAAAAATCAAGATTTGTGTTCCCCTAAATCACAGGACTGCCTTAAAAGATTGTAATATTTAGGATTTAGATAAATAGTGTTCTGTGTGTGTGTGTGTGTGTGTGTCCGTGTCCTCTGTTTTGAAACCTTCAGGGTTTTCATATGTCACCTTGAGAAGTTTTTCACTGAAACGAATAGAACTAGAAAAGATTAATGACAGGCCTAAAACCACACATCAAATCTACTCTGAAGTTTGTATATGACTCCTCTTTCTCTCCAGGAAAGTCTGAATCCTCACTTTCTCCTCCGGCTCTTGGAAAATGTTTTCTCCCAGATATATGTGCTTCTACCTTGTCCTTATGCTTATGCCCTCCCACTTTGAAAGATAAGGTAAAAAAATGTTCTCATAAAGAAATGCAGTGTGTTGCCTTTTGCCATCACCACTTGCCAGCTTTCATTATTGCTGTGCCTATTCTTTGCCTGGAGCAATATTATTTTAATGTTCTGTTAAAAAAAACCCAAAACCACAAAACAAAACCAAACAACCCTTGACAACCTTTAGGAAAATAAAGACACTGACAGACAACAAAGCACATGTGTGCGTGAGCATGTGCACCTTTCTTGGCAGCTTCTCTACCTATTGCTTTATCTCTGATCACATTAAAATTATTTTCCCTTCAAGCAAACAAAATGCTTTGAAGTGATGTCTCCCTTGACACCACGAGCCATTGAAAAGCTGTCAAGAGCAGACAGTGGAGAAAAAGGGAGGAATGTCATGTTTGAGGGAGCTGGGACAGTAGTGTGCCACAACTTTGGCTATCAAATGAAACTCACAGGGACCATCACATGTATGTGTGTGAAAGGCGTGGGTATAATATTAGTGGGAAGCATTGAACTGCCATTGGCTGTTGTCCTAGTTTGGTCTGGAATAAAGTTAGCTTTCTTCCTAGTAGCTGGAATAGTGCTGTGTTTTGGATTTAGGATGAAAATCAATTGATAAACTGATGTTTTAGTTGTTGCTAAGCAGTGTTTATACTAAGTCAAGGAGTTTTCATCTTCTCATACTGCCCTCATACTGCTGAGCCTGGGAGTGCACAAGAAGCTGGTGGGGGGACACAAAAAAGGACAGCTGACCCAAAGTAGCCAAAGGGGTATTCTATACCGTATGATGTCATGCCCAGTATGTAAACTGGGGAGAGTTAGTCCGGGAACGTGACGGCTCAGGGATTGGCTCAGCAGTAGTCAGCAGGTGATGAGAAATTGTATTGTTCATCACTTGCTTTGTATATTCTTTTATTATTATTATTATTATTATTATTATTATTATTAGTATTAGTATTAGTATTAGTATTAGTATTAGTATTAGTATTAGTATTAGTATTAGTATTAGTATTATTTTTCCCTTCCTTTCCTGTCCTATTAAACGGTCTTTATCTCAGCCCATATGTTTACATATTTTTTCAATTCTCACTTCTATCCCACTGCAGGTGGGAGAGTGAGCGAGTGACTGTGTGGTGTTTTATTGCCATCTGGGGTTAAAAGATAAAAGATACTCAGTTTATACATGGAGAAGGTGAATAGGCAACAATCAAATGCCTCATGCTATCATGATGTATGACTCATGGTTTCTATCTGGCTTATGAAAAGATGTAGTTGAGATACAGACAAAGCAGGGATGGAGACAAGAACAGGCTTCTCCAGACACAGGACAGGGAAACTGAGATGGAGAGGACACAAGAAGCCTGGATAGCCTGGCTTGATGCTCCTGGTCAAAGTGATTTGAACTATAATGCATATTGATGGAAATGATCATAAGAAGCAACCAATCCACTGACCTTCACCTTTCTTTTGGACAAGTCTAACCATCCAGAGGTTTGGATAGATACTGGGGACATGTCTCCTTTACTACCCTCATTAATCTGCTTTCCTTGGTAACTGTCTACTTTCCTTATGCCTAGACCTAGCCTGGTCTCAGAGGTGAAGTGTAAAGGATCATCTAAATCTCACAATAATGTGCTGTAATAGAAAATAAGAACTAAATGTATCACTACCAACAAAGGTTCTGTAGGTTTCTTCCACGGATGCTGTCAGAAGGAGCCCCATTCATGCTGGTGGTGATGACTTTTCCCTCAAAACAAGAACCAGTGTGAGGACATCAGTCTCTGGATTCTGGCAGATGACCACTGGCCATGCTGACCACAGCAGTTAAAAAGACCATGGTTTTCTCTGCCAGAGGTTACTTCCTCAGTGCTGCAGTACCCTGTCTGTCATAGCACCTTAACCAACTGATAAAGATATATTTATGCTAACATGGCTGTGCTGAGACATGGACACATCCCA